AGTCTGGACTTTCTGTAAACACCAAATAAAATACATATATCTAGTTATATACAAGTATTAATGATTAACATAGTTGTTAACATTTATACTTGTAGCAATGAAGTATGTACTTTATTTCATGTAGAACGTGCATTAATTATTCTCACATTATTATATTTTTTAAATGGCAATCGCTAAATAATGAATTTTCTATCTCCTGCTGTTTAATAATTCTAAACGATAAGAGGAAAAAAGAATAAATGATTTTTCTCAAATTTGATTTTTGTTTGTAATTGTTTTTTTAAGATAATTAGCTTAAAAAACAGAATATTTCTACTAGTGTTCTTTTGAAATCACTACATATTTTGCAAAATTCTTTGCCTTGCAGCTAATTCCACAGTTATTTTCATGTTGTTGTTTCCGTATGGCATTTTACTGTATCTAATTTGCTTCCCTAAACATACAATTAGAAAAAAAGTTAATTAAATATTGATGAAATTATTTTGTAATATCAGTTTTCTTTTCCTTTTTTTTTCTTTAAGCAACCAAGTTTAATCATAATAAGAGTTTTAAAACATTTAACATATGGGAGAAACATCCTTTTCCGCTGACACTTAATGAGAATTTTTATTTTTAGTATTCTGTGCGATACTTAAAAATCAATCTAAAAGGCACCGTTAATTAGTGAAGCTGCATCAATAACTTGTTTTCGTGAGAGAAAGTTTACTAATTCAGTTCAATGCTAATCGCTAAAACTGTTTTCCTTATTTTTTTAATGTATTGAATTAAATGTCATAAGTAAGCGTCATCTTATGGAAAATGGCTTACACTCGCCATATACATACATCATTATTTTTTCTTCCCAAATATTATTTCAAAAATTCTGTTGTCATTGTATCCACATTTCTTGAAAATTAATCTAATGAGTCACACAGAATGTTTTTTCCGTGGTTCTGTATTATTTTCTGAGAATGTGACAACATCTCGCGAACATTTTGTTTCTTAATTTAGTAATTAATTAGTAATAATAATTAGGAATATTAAAATGATTAATACTTAGATAGAGAACGCTATAGTCAAAAGAACAAAATTACAAATACAAATTAGTCCAGAATAACAGCTTTTTTAAAAGTTACTTGGCACATGGTATTAAAAACAATGTTCATGAAATGTTTGTACTGAATTTTATATAAATTAAATTATTCTTCAATTTGTATCAAATTACATGTATAATTCAAGAAGCAAAATAACGATTTAAATTATTAAGAAATATGCTTATTGCTTTTAAATCGCTTAGTGTGTTCATCGGTAACAAACTGATCAAATCTGAAAGAAATATTTAAGACCTTATGCTTGGCCAAATTATAAAACTCATTCACAGCCTACTGCTATAGTGTAGCTTTGATTTGCCGAAAGGCAGTATTCTAAATCTCGACTATACACCATGATGCATAGAAAATGAACTAAAGTTTTTATATTTCGCGCATTTTCAACAATTGCCGAGTCATATTTCCAGATTAGTTCGTCTGTCATTTTCCAGCCTGTCAATAGTCTTCCGGTCTATCACTTTCAGAGACACGATTTTGTCTAAAATTTTTTTCGAAAACAAGTTTTAGATGTCAATCGAAAACAGTTCTTTCAATCAACGATAGTGATTTAATATGCATTTTATTTATTCCAAAAGCTAAGGTTATGATTGCGATATTTATTTTAACATGACAAAACACGCAAGGATTATCTGCCTAAAAGATGTCTTCAGGAAGGACTTTCTAAGGGAAACTCTTCCATATTCAAATTACACATAGGGAAAACCGTGAAAATTAACAGTCAGCAAGCTTATTTAATCTGGTTTCGAACCTAGGACAAACTCCCAATATTCAGCCGTCCTTAGCCATTCGGCTACCGGTGGGAGCATTTACTCCAAAAACCAGATGGCACAAGGTAAGCTAAATGTAATGGTCAGTGCAGAGAGTAATCGTAATAATGTGCTGTAACGTTGACTGATACTACACCTATTGAGCATGTGGTCAAAGCAAAATGTCCATGCGAGGCTTGAGGAAATGTCATCTGATGGCTTGCACCGCTCATCAGATTTCTTGGAGCTTCCAAGAACAGATGTCTTCAAACGCAAGCGCTGACGAGTCCACATGTAACTGACGAACCTACAGACTTCAATGAGGAAGAAAATTACAGAATACTTCAGCACACGGAAAAGGTGAGGTATGTGGCTACTAAAGAATTAGGTTTCAGTAATTCATAAGATGTAAAAGTAAGCAACTGGACAATGTCATTTTGCAGAGAAAGATGATGCAGAATACTTCAGCAAATGAAAAGGAGGTCTATGTGCAACAAGTTAAACAATTGCAAGATGTCATTTTCCAGAAAGAAGTGGTACGTTTTGGTTAAGGTAATAAACGTTACTAATGATGAATAATCTTGTTGTTGCTGTTGTTATTACCTATCTCACTTGCATGACAATAAGATCATAAGCCCACGAAGTTCATTATAGCAAGAAGTGCAAGATAGCGCCTATCGTTGGCAAGAGCCTTGAGCACCATACTGGTGACAGTCCAACATTGCTCAGTTTTGATGGAGAGCATCCCGAGGGGATAGGTTCGAGGATCAACCACCCCACTTCGCCTACCACTAACCTCTAAAGAGGGCTTTCGGCTCACGTCATATTTAGAATACCCCCACGCCGCACAGACACTATACATTTACAAACATCCATGCTTCTCATGGATTCGAAACCAGGCCCTTCGATACGACAGTTAGCGTGGCTAACCAGTGTTCCGGTTGAGCGGCTAAATATTCTTAACAAATACGCTATCACTTGAACAATCATAGCAAAATACTGTATTTTGCTTTGACAAGGACGAATGAGGCAACTTTCTTTGCTCGTTTGCACGAGAAAACTCAGTATTATATCTCGGACATTTGTTGTTTTTATTCAGATACCTTGTGCAGTTTCCCATGCATCTGCTTTTAATTGAAACTGTTTAATGTGATGTTTTTAAAAACCTGTGTTCCTTGTCTTATTTTTCATATAAATATTTAGGAATATTCTCTTGGATTTTTATTAGCAAACTGTTGATGATTTGCTAAAGTGTGATTACTCTTTTGTGCTTTCGGTTGTTGAACAAAATAAAAATTACCTTATTGTTGGTTTTCAGAAAATTTCTATTTCAGATATCAAAGCTTTCTTTCTTGAATGTTTTAATAATATTGTGAGAATTATTTAATGGGTATTATTTTTAACTGATTCACTATGAGCGTTGCAAACAGAGTATATATAATATTTTTTTCCTGCATAAGCACTTCTTAGTCTATCTGAAAAGAATAGTTTTTGTCCATCCACTATTAAAGAAGAATTAATTTATGCACTGTCTTTTAAAAGTTATAAATAATGAAATACATTTACTTTCCTCCTGAAACAGTGTTTCTAGACAATATGCTTTTATAAAAAATCTTACTTTTGAATAAAGTAAGATTTTTGAGTATATCATTTGAGTAAGGAGAACGATCATCTTATCCTTACCCCACAATGTCAGACTGAGAGTTCGTAAATGATTTATTATACCTTTAAAAGATTGAAATCTTGCATCTATTTATCCTTTTTCAGTTGTATGTGTAAACTTTTCTTTTCCACGAGAGAAACGATAATCTTTAACATATTCATAAACCTGCATACGATATTGACGACTCATAGCGAAGGAATTTTTAAATTCCCGCTTCGAATACAAATTTTCACTTTGTTTATTTTTGAGTATTTAATTACACGAAACTGACAGTTTCAAAAACAAATTTTGCAATAAATTCGTACTCGAAGTATATTGCCGTCAGGTGTTAACGAATAATAGTACAATGAGCAGAATGATACTCTGAAAATCTGGCATAACTTTGCATTGGTAAGTGAAAGTAATTAATAGTGCATTTTTACTTACGGCTGCAAGTGCTGCAGGTCATAAATTGCTAAACATCAGTTACACTGGTAAAAAAATGTAACCATCAGTGTTGGATAATCCTCTAAACTCATTTAGAACTTCGTTTAATGTAAGAGAATTCTTTAAAGCATTTTCCAACTTGTTTTCAGCGTCGGCACACATCTAGAAACTGCATTTTTCTGTAGTATATTTTGTAGACGTATATTCTATTTGTCACGCAAGGTATTTGGACGTTAACACTGCAATAACATCAGCTATATTATTCTTAAAAAATAAACTGAAAGCTTTCAGATTTTATATTATGCCCAAAAGGGCGGGTTCTTTTTCCCATTCACGCATGTATACACTTTTCGAGAGCATTTGAGCTAAAAATAGTATATATATATATGTGTGTATTTTTATTTAGATTAAGTCTTTTCAGTAAAGTTTTATAATTTCACTTACGTTTTCAGCTCTTTGTACCATGTTCTCTTTGCTTAAAGGTAAAAAAAATTGATTAGAATTTGCCTTGTGTTTTCCTTCCTTTGGGAAGGAGCCAGAATTTTCGGGTGAACTATTACAATTACAATACATTGAAATGATTCATCGACTAATTCTGGATACAGAAAAGCAAAGAATTTTGTGGAAGAGAGATTTCAATTGATTTCAATGTTCCTCCTCCTCCTGACGCAGTGGCATTGAAGTTGATTGAATTCCTCTTCTATTGTGTTCTTTTTTTTTTATTTCATTGATTTGAGTTGGGGTATTGCTTGTTCGAAGTGTTTTGGTTTTAACATTTATTAAACTCTTTTTTGCATTTATAGGATTATTTGAAATTTATGACTTTTGAATTTCAGTTTTTGGTTTTTGTAAAAAAATTGGTTCTAAATTTCTTACTTTATGTCTTTACTAATAATTTTCAGCAGCTTAATGCGCGAAAATACTGAGTTTGATGATTATCTTAAGTTTTTTAAATATATGTATATGTGTGTGTACGTTTGGCACTTATATGCATGCTTTATCATACAATATTCAGCGAATTTTGTGCTTTTAGTCTTTTTTAATTACATTAAAAATGTTCTCTTATATTTCTTTCAGATCGGCGGCTCTAGGATGTTACCTATACGGTGGATGGCACCGGAAAGTATTACATATGGCAAATTTTCACTGGAGTCTGATGTCTGGGCTTATGGTGTGGTGCTATGGGAAATTTTTACCTTCGGAAAGCAACCTTACTATGGCCATTCCAACGACGAAGTAAGTTGTTTAACTGAAATCATTGCTTTTCTTGTTATGCAGCCTATTTATGAAAAGGAATTCTAACGACAAATCTCCCGCTTTCTTGATAATGGTAATAATAAATACCGGGTGGCCATAATTAAACTGACAGTGCTCACAGTGTTCTGTAGCGCGATCTATTTGCGAGAATGACGCCACATATTGTAGGAAGATTAAAGAAGACGGGGGACGAAGGATTCCGCGAAAAAAAATTAGTTCCAAAAGTCACCGCTAGGGGAATATTTGGCGCTGTGTAATAGAAAATAGAGTGTTAACAAATGCAAATTAATACGGAATAAAATTTATCGAAGGTCCATTCTTCTATGAGAACATTACCCCGACAGGACCGGAAACCTGTTCTGTTTCCGGAGAGAAATATCGCCACATGTTGAACAGCTTTGTCATTCCGACACTTTAGTAAAGACAATGCCTGGGGGAAATCATTTTCATGCAAGATGGAGCCCCTCCACAGGTTGCTGTACGGATGCAATAGATGCTACGACAGAAATTCACAACAGAAAGAGTCATTAGCCGCTACTTTCCAATTTCATGGCCACCTCGGTCGCCTGATCTTACCCCATGCGACTTCTGGCTATGGGATTACCTTAAGTCCAAGGTCTATCAAGGAATGGTCCAGGACCTGGCTACGCTGAAGGATAACATATCACGGACTGTACAGAAGATTCCTGCAGACATGTTACTTTCTGCTGTTGTGCATACTGTGCACAGAATGAAATATGTGGTCCACAACAACGGCAGCCACATTGAACCTCATTTGAATGCAAAATAAAAGGTAATTTCCGTATAGATTTGCATTTGTTAACACTCTATTTTCTATTACACAGCGCCAAATATTCCCCTAGCGGTGACTTTTGGAACTAATTTTTTTTCGCGGAATCCTTTGTCCCCCGTCTTGTTTAATCTTCCTACAAAATGTGGCGTCATTCTCGCAAATATATTTCGCTACAGAACACTGTGAGCACTGTCAGTTTAATTATGGTCACCCGTTGCATATAATTTATTACAATGCTTTTGGCGGATAATCCCTGTGTGCTTTATTTCAACCAAACAGCCAATTGCTGTTGTGTATAGCCATAAATGCAATAAATGTTACAACGAACAAGCATTATACTGTAAGATTATAACTAAATAAAGAGTTTTGATTTTCTTTCATCCGCCTCCAGTTTTGATCGAGTCTTAACTACGAAACATCACTACGCCGCGTATTTAAGGAAGTGGAAAAATCATAAGAGATTGAAAAATTAGGAAATAGCTAAAAGCAGTTTGAATCTTGCCGTAAGAAATCCCTAAAAGACTACGTTTGTACCACTGTACGTAGAAACACCGTGCTCGTATAGCTTATTCTTTGCTTACAAGTTAAAGCTTGTAAGCAAAGAATTGATGAGTATTGACCTTCACAGCTTGCATTCAGTAAACGCTTAATTATAAGGTATTTTTTCCGCCTTCTTGGCATGCCTTCGTGGTGTTGTGGTCTGCACGCTGGGCGCGTGTTCCAGAAGTCTGCGGTTCGATTCCCGGCGAAGGCGTTGCATATTTTTCATCTTTCCAAAAAAAAAACCTAATGTCTCTACAGTGGCGCTCGAACTAAAAGAGTGTTAAGTGATGATTCTCCACACCCAGGATTTGGCGATTGGGATTTTCTTGGCATGCCTTCGTGGCATGGTGGTCTGCACGCTGGGCGCGTATTCCAGAGGTCCACGTTTCGATTCCCGGCGAAGGCGTTGCATATTTTTCATCTTTCCTGCTTCTGAAAAAAAACCCTAAGGTCTCTACATAATAAAAGTACTTACTTAACGTAAGTTATCAAATATTCTGAGTTACTTCTAACTGTATTTGTTTGTGAGATATGGCTGTGTTATTTGCAGTTTACGTTTTTTCATCAAAAAGTATAAATTTTTAATTTCAAAATGTAGTTAAACCCAGTAACCTCTTTTATAGTTAGTCAAACATTAATTTTAGCTTAAAAGTCTTTTTTATAGTTAGTTAAATATTAGATATAACTGAAGTTTCGCCATCTATCGGAAAGTTCTTGTCAGTAAATTGGCCAAAAAAAAAAAAAAAAAGGCAACAGTTTGTGAATATAACAGAAAAATGATTCATCTTGAGAAGTTGCTGGCTGCTGATGAAAGAGTTTCCCAAATGACCTTTTTTGTTTAAGGCTTAGGTTGTAGTTTAAGGACTAATTAAAAGCTTGATCTAACCTTTGTGTTCCATCAAGCATTCGAATTTGGATTTGAGTTTTGAAATAAATGTGCTAAAACAAATATCTCTAACACATTTATTATTGATATTTATGACTAATACATTATTAACAAAGTATGAAATGCCGCCTCTCTCTTCGATGTAATAGAAAACAATCATTAAGGTAAGTAAATTCCTTAAATGACAATATAGAATTTACAAAAATGGAAGAACTAGGGAGCTAAAATTAAAAATAGAAATAACGGCGTCTTTAACTTCACGAGAATATGATATTCTTCATATTGTGTGAATGTGGTGTGTAACTGTTTTCCAAAGTCATGCATTTCAAGTTCTAATGTTGAATAACTCAAAAATATGTATACAATTTGTCTCTTTCATGTAGACTACAACTCAAAACGGTGATTTAATGAAGTTTGTTCTTAAATCGATGTGCAGGTTCATATGCTAAAATGATTTAACCAGAAAATGAGGAGAAGAAAGTTACCTGTGTATACATAATGTGTTAGAGGTCAAGACGTTTAGATAGTTAAAACTTAAACACAATTTCTTGATAATAAGTTGCTCGTTCGTAAATAATTTTATATCATTTCGTTAGTTTCAATGTCATACATCGCTTAGGATTCAATATTAATTTTTCAGTTAATTCCAAAAGAAAATGGGTCTTATATATTTTACGTTGCTTTCGTTCCCTGCCTTGAACAGATATGCAAATTGCTAAGTATGAATGAATAATGAGGCCTCAAAAGGTTTGCATTCAAATATTTCTTAGCAAATATTGGAGAAGTCTGATAAGATAAACTAATGCCTCATTAATAGCTGAGAGATTAAAAATTGCTGAAAATTAGTAATACGTCCTGCGATCAACCACAGGCAATAGAACTGGCTGTATGTTTGGTTCTCGTGAATTTTCCCAATGTGAATATGAGCTAGTTTCCCATAAAAATCCTTTAAGTAAACATATCTTCATTCCGATAGCTAAGAAAAATTGAGTTTTTTTAAATAACACAAATGCGTGATGTTATTTTAAAATTATAATTAAACGATAATGAAATTATTACAAGACAAAAATCTCCAAAACTTAAAAGAACATTCAGCAAAAAATTGCTTCAAAGCAAAAGTTATTTCCTTCAAATAAAACATGGATTGTAAATTTATTTTTAGTGATAAGTATTTATATGATTTTCAAAAAGTGCAGAAAAAATTAAATTCGGAAGGGTAATGTGAATTTTAATGTTTTTCACAGATTAAAAATTAAAAAATACCATTCAGCGTATTTATCACTATTTCAACATATCAAGACATAATATTGGAAAATTCATTTAACTTTCGAGTTACAGAAGCAATATGTGAATTCGAATAATTTATTCTCATTAAGACCACTATTACCACCATTGTCATTAAGACCACTATTACCACCATTGTCATTAAGACCACCATTCTATGCAAAGAAAGTATATTGGCTTCTTACTACTAACGCAAATTTTGTAATGATGTTACCTAAATCTCTCAAACAATGAATGAAAAATTTCTGCTCTTAACAAGTTTGTTTTGAAAACGAAAGAAAATCAAATCATTGAAGAAATTTCTGAAAAACTGAGAGATCGAAAAAATACAGAATTATGTAAATTTCCAAAAATATTTTTATTTAAGATAAGATTTTTTATTTAAAATATATTTATTTTGAATTTTTAATTAAGCTCGTACGCCTTAAAACCCTTAAGATCTTCGAATATGTTACTGTTGCAAGAGTTGGGATAACTTATTTATTTTAAAAGCAATTACTTTCAACCTTTTTACAGCTGACTTACATAATATAGGTGCTTTGGTAACTAGTAACCAGAAAGTTTGTGCTGCCACAAACATTTTTATAATTTAATCTCATTTGTGACAAAAATTTTATGCGTTCATGTCATGTTTCCACCTTGCGCGCACAGTTTAAAACATTCTGTGATATAATTTAATTCCATATTAATTATATATTTTTTATAACATTTTAAAACTACTGTGAACCAAAATTCCTAAGAATTTCATGTTAAATTCTTTTTTTATTTGGAGTTGAGTTAATAAAATGTATTTTATTTAAAAATTCTGTAATGCTTTCATGTATAATATTTTTTAATATTAAAATATTCATCAGATTTTTGGTTCAGTTAGAAGATAGTGTCCATATAAAGAATTCCATCAAATTTCAAGTATATACCATTAACCATTTTTAAAATATTATGCGCGCAAGGTGGAAACAAGGAGTGAACGCATAAAAAATTTTTGTCACAAAACAGATTAAATTATATAAATATTTGTGCAACACAAAATTTCTGGTTACTATTTCCAAAGCAGCTATATTATGTAGTGAGCTGTAAAAGATTGGAAGTTATTATATTTTAAATAAATAAGTTTTCCCGATTCTTGCAACAGTAACATATTCGAAAATCTTAAGGGTTTTAAGATGTACGAGCGCCTTTAAATCACTTTGAGATAAAGAAATTCCAGAAATCCGGAAAAGCATGTTCACGATTCTGAATTACATTACGATAAAGATGTAAAAGTAAACATGTTTGCGTGCAAAACTGAAAACGTTTCATAAATGAAATCGAAACTGTCTTCCGATATTAAGGGAGTTCATTTTCTTTCGATTTACAGATATCGTTCATAAACCAGAAATGTAAAAAGAAAGGAAATTTGCATGTAAACTAATTTTAGTTATTCCGGTTATATCAGCATCTTATGAAAAGAATTTATAGAAAAACACCCAGAAG